AATCAATTAAAACCAATTTGTCCTAAGGTGGCAATATACAGGATACAACATAGCTCATAAACCGAGGAGACGCTACAAGTTGCTAATGTAGCTTTACTCCTCCTGAGCCTTCCCTGCGTCCCTCCTTTAAAGCTCTCACCTGAAAAATGTTAAACAATAGGGATGAGACAACGTCTCAGTAACTAAATCCTTACCTATCACACACACTAGCATGGGCTAGCGAAGTGTCAAGTGGGATACACAGAGTTAATATTAATTGATAAATATTTATTTAACATTTAAACTCACAATAATCATATAAGACAAATATTTCCACTACTCTCATGCAATTGATACATTTCAAAAGAGATAACATACTTGTCATTTATTTAAAAGATATAAATATCAATAAATATCCCATGTCATATGCAATTCCTGAACCCAAATCCATCCTCATATCCTCCTTATTTCCGCCGACTGGACCCATGGGCTAAGTTCTTTCCATTTGACTGGCAACTCTGACAAGCTCACCACATGAATGATGTGGACCGGCCAAAGACCACAGAGCACTCGGTGGACCATGGGTCCCCCCTCGAAGAACTAGTAGGGTGTCGCAGTCCTTCGAAGAACTAGTGGGACAATAATAGCAGCCAACCATAGAGCTCCGTATGGAGGCTAATACCACATGGCAAGTATATGAATCTCAATAACTCCAATTACCTCCTTTCCCCACCCAAAATAGATGCACAGGGTTCAAAATGACACATTTATATGCATAATCAACAGAATTTCATAATAACACATCATAATCATGATCACCAATTTCTTGCAATACAAATTATGTCAATCCTCTTTAAAATAGCATCCCACAAGACAGTTCATACAAAACGTAATATACTTTTATAGATTTAGTTATAAAACCACTCACCAACTTCATACTAGAGCATGCAACAGATAGAAATTTAGTTACCTGGTCTCCTAGCTAACAGTCAACTACAACCAGACTCCAACCTCGAAAATGCCACAATAGAGTTTATATCTACAAACAAAATTAAAATATTATCTTTATAGTATTAAAGTAGGCTACTCACAAAATTCTAGCCTCTAATTCCTCCTCTAAAAGCTTTAATTTTATTCAGAACCCTAGCCTAAAGGACATTTCTCTAAGGTTTGGAATGAGGACACACACACACACACACACACACATATATGATTTAGACTCTATTCCTGAATTTTCCCTTACTTAAATATCCTTTAATTATTAGATTATATTATTAGAATCATCAAATTCATAATGCAAATAGACAAACTATAAATTTATAACTTATATTTCATCTTCGAAGGACTTAGACAAATAGACTTAGTATGAACCAGGTTATTCTCACTACAGAAGTTAAACCCTTAATCTAACCGTTGAATTTAATTTCCTATCTATCATGATACTATCCTCCAAATTATAGCTCAATCTGACGGTGAATGAACTTTAAAATGCTAATTTACTATTCAGGACTCTATTTGCTAAATCCAAAAGATATAAGTTAAAAACGTACCTAATAAATTGTAACTCGGAGATCAAAATGATGATCCAACCGTTGAAATTAACGATTTGGATGTCCCAAATGGACTGACCAAATTTCAGTCCGATCCAACGATTAATAAATTCAAAACTAGCACTTTTCTGAGATTACCTCAGATATGTGCGAAAATTATTTACTCACTTCAATCTCCACTCACTATCTCCTATATATAGGCTCCTCAAACTCCTTCACTCTAAAGATTAGTCGATGTGGGACTTCTTAACATTACTATTTTATCCACTTCCTATCATTTAATCAATGTGGGACTTCTTAACATCGTTATTTTATTCATTTTCTCATACACATACACACACACAAAATCAGAATTATTTTAATTACATATATGTATATTTAACCTCTACCTATTCTATAAAAATTATTTAAATATTATATATATGAGAATTAGGATGTTATATCAAGCAAGTGAGCAAGCTTCACTTCTTCCCTCTGTCGCGACTTCCAATCTTCCCTTGCCCAAAGCTGTACGTCTTAGATAATGGCGAAGCTAATGGAAGAACGCAGCAACTCACTCTCACTCTCTCCCCAAAAGGTCCTTTTTTTTTCCGTCTCTGGATTCTTCTCCCTATCCTTGTCCTTATCTGTGAAGATTTATTTTATGTTTTCTAAACTTTTCTTCTTTTGATTAGTCCAGCATAATCCACGTGTAGTGCACTGCTTTAACTTGTGAAAATGTGTAGTGAAGGCCCAAAATCAACGCTTGCCAGAAAAAATCAAATGGGAGCAGAATGAAAAACTCAAAATCATTATCAAGTTAAACTATTTAAATTTATTTTTATGCTATTTAAAAATTTGATATTTTAATTTTATATATTTATTATATATACATAATATTATTTTTAATTTAATTTTTATATTACCAGTCCGACCAGACGGTCCGACTGATCCGACCGTTTGAACCATGACCCGCTAACTTTTCCGGTTCAATGTCCGGTCCGACTTTTAAAACATTGAAAGTGACATAAACTTTATTGAATAGTATTTATTTATATTATATATTTATAATGTGATAATTGTCAAAGAATAATTAAAATTAAAATTATAGAAATAAAACAGTTAGTTTTGAGAATAATTAGAACTAAAATAATATATTTAAATTTTAGGAAAAATTGAGAAAAAATCCTCCTATTAAAAATATAATCAGTGAGAATGATCTAAATCATAATACAAGCATTCTATATATATAATATTTACACTTGGTATATAAAAATTTATGAATTACTTCTTACCAATTAAATTTTTAATAGAACATTTTTTCAATTATCCATAGTTTTACAAATATGATAGTAAATAATAAAGAATAATAAATTTATTTTTTAAAAATTGGTTTCATTATTCAAAAAATGATTTCTTTAATATTAAAAATCAAGTCAAGTGGCTGGGTTAAAAAAAAAAAAACTCTCATAATGCATAAAGCATTCCCTCTACTCCCTCACACATGGGCCTCACCTACCCAAAGTGCAGTGGAGAAGCTAAAATCAATAAATTGGAACTTTTGAAGAAAAAAAAATTCATATCAAACATAAGTCTATTTACTTCTACAGTGAATCCAAACAAATGTTATAAAAAAAAGTTTTTCTTTTTCAGTTTTTTCTAATAGAGAAGTCCGTTTAGGAGCCTCTATTATGATTCAAATTCACCTTTGGGAGGTGACTTGGTAGAGAAACCCCAATGGATAGAAACCGCACCCGTAGTGGCCGAAAGAGGGTGCCTTCTCTTCTTTTCTCCTTCATCTCCCTCTATTTCCTATCTCAATTATATGATAATAATTTAAACGGTTCAGATTTCATATTTTATAAAATTATGAACAAAATGCTTATTCTTTAAAAAATAAAAAATAAAATTAAACTACTAAATTTGAGTAATGATAATTCAAAAAATAAAATATTTATTATGAAGTTATTTTATACTCTTTCGGTTCTAAATATAAAATTTATTTTATAGTTTATTCTCTTTGTCCCTTATTATAAAATCCAATTGTTTGAATGGGTTTCTTTCTTTTTATAAGATCCTTTTTGAGTTTGTCTGAGCATTTAATACAGTATTACCTATTTTATCCTAATTTAAAGCATTTAATATATTCTCTTTCTTCATTTATCTTACTATTACACTCTCACATTTATTCATTTATATATAGAGGTATATTTGAAAAAAATTGTATTTGCTACTCCTTCAGTCTCTTATTCTAAGATTCAATTTTTTGAATAGATTTATCCCTTTTTATAAAATCCTTTTTGAGTTTATCTATTTTACATGTAATTTAATATATTCTCTTTCTTTATTTATGTCACTATTATTTTCTCATATCTACCCTTTTATATATATGGATATATTTGAAAGAAATTGCATTTATTACATATTAATTACTTTTAACTAATTTTAACTGTTTTTTGAAACCGCGCAATTTAGTTAAAAGAATTTTATAATAAAAGATAAAGTAGTACATATTAATTATTTTTAACTAATTTTAATTATTTTCTTAAACCATATAATTAGGGACCAGAGAAGTATTATAATTTAATGGTTAAGATGGGATGGAAGTGGCGACCCGTGACGTCACCGTCTAATCTTCGCTGGACCCCACCCACTTCATCATCCCTGGTGACAACCTCTTAGCATTGTCTACGTGGCGCCTGCTCATTCAATATCATCCTTAATTTTGATACCCGTCCTTATATGATTAGATAACATTTTTTTAATGAAATAATTAAATTTTATCTTTTATTATTATTTACAAATTAAACATAAAAATGAGTTAACCTGTTAAATTTGATCTCTAAATAATGCAATTCGATCTATCACTATAAATATTTTATTTTTAAACATTAAATTTTATGGAACCTATTAGTGTTAAATAAAAGTTGAATGACCCGTGTGTATTAAATTTTCTCATCTCACACCTGTAGGTAATTTTCTCAACAAAAAAATCAACAAAATATTAGAAAAATTCAACATTAGCCATAAATAAAAGAGCGAAATATAAACAGAGTCTTCAAATTTCATTTAGTACTATTAGATCTCAGCGAACTTAATATTTACAAGCGTGATTTGTAAATGATATAACTCAATTTATAAATATAAAAAACTGACCTGCAAAATTAAATTATTTTGTAGACATGAAAATTTGATTTGTGAATTAAATTGCATATAACCTATTAATATTAAACAAAATTCAAAAGATTTATTTGCATTTAATTTTCTTATCAATGACTTGTAGGCAACTTTGTCAAACACATTTATCTTTATATAATATACTTTAAAAACTTTAGCTAGCCAGCCAGCCAACCAAACTTTCCGTAAATCATTAATAGTGTGTTTATTTCATTAAAAAATTTTTTTTTTGAGCAAAACAAGCCAATTTTATTAATACCAAAACAAAGGATACAAACACCAATAGCCACTCAAGGCCCAAGAAAAGAAAAACACTCACAAAGCCCTAAACATACAACCTAACACACCAAAAGAAAACAAAAAACGGAAAGTAAACAAACAGCACGCCTAAACTGCAAAAAAGCAAAACTAGTTAACCGATACCTTCCCTGATCATATCATCAGCAAACGAATTAGCAAGGTCCAATTGCAATAAAAGCCAAAGAGAGGATGGTGGCTGAGATAGCCATCCGTGAGGTACCATGCCTCTCATAACATTAGCTGCTAAATGATCAGCAGCTTTGTTCCCCAACCTGGAAACCAAGGCTAAATCCCAGCTCATCAAGGAGCCTTGCAACATCAAACACATCTTTAGAACTTCGATGCTCTGCCACTCACTTCCTTCAACATTTCCCTTCTTCATTCTATTAAACAATTCTGCACAATCAGTTTCTACTGTCACCATCTTCCCTTGTAGAAAATCAGCGCACTTGTAAGCCTCTATTAAAGCAAGACTTTCTGCCATAAAAGGAGTGGCAACTTCCACCTCCTTCCCTAATCCACCAATGAACTCACCTTCTTCATTTCTTCCAACAATTCCTACTGCTGCCCTTCCGCTCTTGTGACAAAAAGCTGCATCTATATTAAGTTTTATTCTTCCCCTAACAGGTCTTACCCATTTCTCCTTCCTTTCCTCAATATTAGAAGAAGTCAACCTTCTCCTATTACGCACAGTAGCCTCAGAAAAGTCTCTGACCAGTCTCATTGCCCCTGCCACGCAAAGCCATGGATCCACTTCTACTTTTTCAAAGATGAATTTGCATCTTGCTTTCCATATACCCCAGCAGATACCTGCAAAGAGGGCAATTTCATCATTTCCAGGGCATTCTTTCATCTGTAACCATTCTTCTAACCATCTACCAAAGCTACTCAATCCAACTTCTTTAAATTTCAAAGTAAGAGGAGATCCAAACCAGCACTTTTGTGCCCAGGGACATAGAAACAACATATGTTCAACAGATTCAGGATGAATTTGACAGATATCACACATAGGGCTACAAGAACACTTCCTTCTAAATAAAGCTTCCTTTGTTGCCAAGGCACTGTTGATAGCTCGCCAAATGAAATGCAGAACCTTTGGGGGCATTTTAATCCTCCATATACCACTCCAAAGAGATTTTGAAGGCTTATAAGAGGTAGTAGGATCTTTTTTCTCCATTTTTTCTGCTTTCTCCTTTGCTACTCTGTATCCCATCTTGACCGAATAAAACCCATCTCTACTTCTCAGCCAAATTAGTCTATCAGCACAATTCAAACCAGGGAGTTTAATCATTTTTATCCAGTCTTTTTCCTCATCACTCAAAATTCCCTCAACTTGTGTAAAATCCCACTTTCCATTAACAATTAAAGCCTTCACATATAAATCTTTTTTATCATCCTCCAACGTTCTACCTCTTAGTTTACAACCTTTAACAGATGGCAGCCATTTATCAGTGAAAATTTTCGCACTTCCACCATCATTAATCTTCCAACACAAATTCTCCTTCAACAGCTCCCTACCCTCCAAAATACTTGACCAGCACCAAGAAGCTTTATTTCCTTTTTTTGCATTTAGGAAATCACATTCTGGAAAATATAGCCCTTTTAAAATCCTGCACCAAAAATCCTCAGGATTTAGTAAAATTCTCCAGGCTGTCTTTGCCAGCAAAGCAAGATTAAACAGCTCCAAATCTCTGAATCCCAATCCCCCTTCCATCTTAGGAGCACTTAAAGACTTCCAAGACTTCCAATGAATTCTTCCTTCCTCATCTTTTTGCCCCCACCAGAATCTTGAAATCAAACTATCAAGTTCTCTACAGAAATTTTTAGGAAAACTAAAGCAAGACATGGGAAATATAGGAATAGCATTTGCCACAGCTTTTATCAAGATCTCTCTCCCAGCGAAGGTCACCAGCTTCTGCTTCCACCCTTGTAATTTGCTGCCCAATTTATTCTTTACAAAAGCTAGAGCCTTAGATTTTGATCTTCCCCACAGTAAAGGCAATCCCAAATACTTCCCAGGATCTGTACTTGCTTTAATTCCCAGTTCATCATATACATCTTTTTTCTGGGTTTCATCTGCGTTTTTTGAGAAGAAGACACAAGATTTATCAATATTAATAGCCTGACCTGAAGCGTTGCAATAAGCATCAAAAATCTTCTTCAGCACCCTACAATTCTGCTTTCTTGCATTAATGAAGAAGATGGCATCATCTGCAAAAAAACAGTGAGACAAAACTGGGCACTGATTTGCAAGCTTTATTCCACGCAGCCTATTATTATCCACATGCCATTGTACCATTTTTGAGAGTACATCAGCCGCAATGATGAAGAGATAAGGCGACAAAGGATCCCCTTGTCTAATACCCCTTTCCATATTCAGATCAGCTATTTTTCTTCCCCCCACCATCAAGTCCAAACTGACAGAGCTAACACATTCCATCACCCATCCAATCCACGTTTCACCAAAACCCATCCTCCTCATTACTGCCTCAATAAAGCACCATTCTAGCCTGTCATAGGCTTTATTCATATCTATCTTTACTGCCATTTCCACTTTCCTACCCTTCTTTTTATTTTTCAAATAATGAAAAGCTTCTTGGGCTACTATTATATTGTCCTGGATCAACCTTTCAGCTACAAAGGCTCTCTGATTTTCAGAAATGATTCTCATCAACAAAGGTTTCAATCTGTTGGCCAACACCTTAGAAATTATCTTGTAAACGAAGTTACAAAGACCTATTGGCCTAAATTGACCAACCTTTTCTGCAACATCAACCTTTGGGATTAAGACAATGTTGGTTTTATTAATAGGCTGCAAACTTACCTTGTGATCAAAAAAATCCTTTATCATCTCAACTAGTTCACCATTTATTTCTCCCCAAGCTGCATAGTAGAAACAACCAGAGAAGCCATCAGGACCTGGGGCTTTTAACCCATTCAACTGAAAAGCAGCCAGCTTGATTTCCTCCATTGTAACAGCTTTCTGTATCTTTTTATTATCTTCTTCAGATACTGTTTTATCAACATAAACTAAAGTTTCCTCCATATTCCTTCTGCCACCTGAAGCAAAGAGCTCAGAGTAGAACTTGGAAAAAGCATCATTTATATCTTTCTCCTCCTCCAACCACTCGCCATCTTCCCCTTTTAGCTTAACCACTTTATTCCTCACTCTTCTCTGGATAGTACATGAATGAAAAAATTTTGTATTTCGGTCTCCTGCAGAAAGCCAATTAATTCTTGACCTTTGCCACCAGTATTTTTCTTCCCTCTCCCAAGCCTCCTCAATTAGTTTTAGCAAAGAATCTGCCTCCTCTCTCCTAGCCTCATCAAGGATTCCACTGTTGCAAACTGAGAGTTTCAAAGTTAAATTCTCAATCAGCTTCTTTGCATTTGGAAAAGCTTCTTTACTCCATCCTAGCAGAATTTTTTTACAGTTTTTGAGTCTGGTTACAATATCATCAACACTGGCTCCTTCAATCCCTTCTCTAATTCTCCAACCTCTGCGAACTATAGGTAGGAAATCTTCATGTTCAGCCCATACTGCCTCAAACCTGAATAATTTTGGAACCTTCACATACCTATAATCACAGTCAATAACAAGCATGTGGTGGTCAGATCCCACTGGTTTGATGTGAAGCACCGCCGCCTTCTGAAAGATCATTCTGAATTCAGTGTTTCCAAAGGCCCTATCTAGCCGTTCCTTGATATGGTCAGTTCCCAGCCTTCTGTTACACCAAGTATACCAAGCACCATGATAATCCAAGTCCATAAGTTGACAATCCGCAAGCATACATTGAAAGTTCATAATTCTCCTTATATCTGCTGGAATTCTTCCCACTTTCTCAGAAATTGAAAGCACATCATTAAAATCTCCAGAGCAGATCCAAGAATCATTTATTTTAGCACCAATACTTCTCATCTTATTCCACACTGCCATCTTATCTTCAATACGGGGTGCCCCATATACACAGGTCACATACTTAGGTGCTGCCATAGTCGAAGAATCAAGGCTCATATGAATAATATTTTTGGAATGGTACCATATATTCACAGTAACATCCAGCTTCCACCATAATGCCAAGCCACCACTCCTTCCTCTCGGGTCTACATAAAATTCTTCATCCATCCTACATTTTCCTCTCAAACGCTGGAGTTTACTACTATGCATCCTGGTTTCCATTAGGAAGATGACCGAGGGATTAAACTTCAAACACTCATCCCTCAGTTTATTTATTGTCAAGGCCCTTCCCAAGCCTTGACAATTCCAGGATATGAACTTCATTGCTCTTGGGTGGCTGTTGAAGGACAGCCACCAAAACCCTCAACAAGCAATCCACTCATCTCTTTAACTTCCTTCTCAAATACTCTGCTCATATGATCAAACTCCTGGATCACAATTCCTTTAATCTTTCTACCACACGCCTTTCTAGATTGTTTCTTCAGCAGTCTCACATTTTTCCTTCCAGTGGTTGGTGTAATATTTCTCCGGTCCTAAATATAAGACTTTTTTATGGTGTAAATTATATTACAAAATAGGTCTTATATTTAGAATTTGGGGAGTATGTTAACTTCATACTTCCTTCAGTTCATAATATAAAACAAGCTGTTAGTTAAGTTTTTTCACAAACTGGAAAAAAAAATGAAATTAAGTCTTTAAATATATTTTAAACTGATAAAAATTATCTATTTTATTTTATTAAAGGATGTGATCAGAAAATTCTCTTACTGTCGTCGTTCATCCTTCTTTGGCGAGAGCTACGAAAAAGGTTGTTTGTCCGTCATGAAAGCAGCTTGTTCCTCCAGGAAAGCATGGTGGCAGTAAGCGAGCTCTGTATGGGTGCCTATTTTTGACGGCCCGTTGATGTATTTGCATTGCTTCCGATAATTTTTTTTTCCATTTCACTCTATAGTAACTCCATTTTTTCACCAACCTGTAGTAAGTCGTAAAAAAAGATATTCTCGGTAAAATGATTATACTCCATATCAACCAATTCATTGATAGAATGATAATCTCAGTGATTAATTTCAGCACACAAATATCCAAAAAGGCTCTTAAAATAATATGGCGCTTTTATATATATTATTATGAGCATTTAAATTTTGAATAAAATCGCAATAACTCTTGAGTTATATCACTAAAGGATAATTTTGTTGAGCATTTAATCATTAATTAATTAACAGATAGACAAATGATTAGCCAAAGTTCAATTACGTCCATCAACAAACTTATGAATCAATCATCAAATCAAATCATCAATTAATCACCTAAATTCAAGTAGAAGGCCGCATTGTGGCTGAGATTGGATCGGGTTTTCCTGTCCTTGCCGGCCTCAACGATTCTGATTGCGATGCCGACGCTATTACATATGCTCCTGTTAATATTTAGATATTCATATTATTCCAGTACTTTTTCTTTAAGTTTTATGCATTCTTATATGTATTTGTTCATATTTTGGCATTTATCCATGTTATTTTTAAGCTTATAAAGTTTATCACTTTTGCAAGGTTATTTTGGTCTAAAAATTAATGTTTCAAGTCACTTGGAAGCACTTTGGAAGAAATTAAAGATCAAGATTTCTTAAAAATTATATTATGATGATCAAAGAAGAACAAATAAAGGCCAAATCAGAGGTAGAACTCCTCATTTGAGCTAGAAGTACAAAAATTTTCCAGAGGCAAAATGAGTTGCGGCACACTCTAACTTGGCTGCGGCTCAACTGAAATAGAGGAAAACTTGGCCGTAGCGCAAAATTTTTGGGCCGCGGCACAGTCGCTGATAGCAAAACGCACAGCTCAACTTAACTCGAAAATTTTAGGTTTTAAGATCCCAAACTCGACTTTGGCCGCCATTCTTCAGTTCTGGGTGATTCTGGGGAGTCTTTGGCTGTGCTAGAGCTTGCTCTTTGGAGGAGATTGAGCTAGGAGTTGGAGCTTTGAAGAGATTTGGGCTTCCTCCTTGGCTTTTCCTTTCCATCTTGCTTTCTCTACTCTTGTTCCATTTTGTGCTAATATACATATATTCTCATGGATTTTCTGAGTATGTGTGGCTAGATACTTTGATTATAGAATTATTTTGAACTCTTGTATGGATTAAGTACTCATTTTTCCTATATATTTGTGATTAATGGTATGATTGTGCTGATTTTACTCTATGCTTAGTGCTTCTTGTTGATTGGCCACCAATGAGATTGTTGGGTTCACTTGATTGATGCTTGAGAGGGGTAGGTTGAGTGGAAAACTTGAGTTTAATCATGTGAGAACTTGAAATTCGCGAGTTGGTTGGATGGTTTTGTTAATAAGATAGATATATACGCATTAACCTTACAGTCATATAAGGATGGCAATTAAAATTGGGGCTTAATTAATTAATTAAGAAATTAAGGAATTAATTGAGCTAAACACCTATTTGGAGACTTGAGAGAGCACTTATAGGAAATTTAATGTCCTTGGCTAGCATAATCTATAATTAAGAAGCAAATATACTGGGGATTTAATTGAGTACTTTTGAAATATAAGAGGGATAAATAATTCTAGGTCCTTTTGAATCATTGGAATTGAAGAATCACTTTTTCTTTTTATTACTTTTTAATTTTATAAATAGTTGCTTTCACTCTTGATATTTGTATTGCTCAAATTAAGCGAAAGTGTGATAATCGTTACTTGACCGGGTTTTGAAACCAAATCCTCGTAGGAACGATACTCTACTTATCACTCTATTACTTGTCACGACCCATGCGCTTGCGGAGCGAACAGCTCCTACACCCTTTGTTTGATTTTTGAACTGAGTTTAAACTATGGTTTCAGTTGTCACCGTTTTATTTGTCGTCCTATTTTCGAATGTTGTGAAACCTTGAACATCAGATTGTTCCCCAGTGAATAGAAGTATAGGCAAAGGATGGGACCAAAGTGCAGATCGATTCAGAAGTGTGAAGTTTTGGCTGTTTGCTTTTCTTAATTTGGAATTGGAATTATGTTTGTTAGTTCGACTTTCTCATTTGGAGTGAAAAGGACTATAGTGGTTATTTTACTCAACAATTAACTTTGGCTTTGTAATAGTGAAAAGGCAAAAAGTCAGATTTTCACATTGCAATTCCGCCTCATAATGTCACTGTTTGTGGGAAAAAATAAATTGACTTCTATTTCATTAATGGAAAAGTCGTATATATACAAGAGGCTTATCTGTAACGGAATACATATTAATAACAGAATTAGTTTTAAATAACAGAAATGTTAATCTAAACTTCAGAAGCTAAGCTCTCTTATTCTTCTTCGGGTGATAGATTCAGGAATGCAATTAAGAAGAAAGTAAAAAACAAATCCAAACACGCCCTATGATTCTTGCCCACATTTTTAAATAGTAATAAATGTTTTGTCTAGGAGGACATGAATGAATTTTCCATAAATTGAGGGATTTCTTCTTAGAGATATGAAACTCTTTTATCTTGCAGGGATAACTACTCTCACAATCTTTATCACAGGTTCTAATTACATAATACTCCCTCCTATCTCTTTTATAAGTTTTAAATAACTAAATTACACAAATAAGAATGCTGTTAAATGATTCAATATCCAATAAATACATAAAAAGAATGTAATTTGTTCTCTCAAAACGCATTTGTGGAGAGTGTACTGTGATTGGGAGGTAGAAAAGCGAAAAAGGAAGGAAAGAGAGAGAATGAAAAGAAGATATGAGAAGAATATACAACTAGTACAGTGTAAAAATAAAAAATATATTAAATGTTAGACATCTTCAACATATAATAACTAATAGGTGATCCTCTGAATTATTTTAAAAATTTAATTTTAATTGGAGGCGGAGGTAAAATAAATGATAGAACATGGGAAGATAGAGCAGATTTAATTTCTTTAATGGTTGAACATTGATTAAACAGGATAAATGTAAGATTCTATTTTTTATTCTTAGGGTTTAACTATATCTGATTTCGTGATTAATGAAATTTTACCGTGTAATTATTTTTTTAAATAAACAAAATTTACCTAGAACATGATTAATGGAAATAAAAGAAATTAAAAATCATAACTATAGGGGCACGTGGTGTGGGGCATTTAATATGCACCCCCCAATCTTTCTGCTACGGTGGCGCGAGGGAGTGAGATCCGAGGGCTTAAATGGCACCATGTTCTTTCATTTATTTAGGGCAAGTTTGTGGAATCATTTATATGCTCAAAATTACTCTCTCATTTTTCATCAAACTCTCCTTTTGAATATTGAGCTGCTGATGCTTGACTCTGCCTGTGACTCCATGCTCACGTTCTGAACGTTTCCGTTCTTCAAACGCTTCAATTTCAGCTTCTCCACCCACCACCGACCCATCCTCTCTCTCTCTCTCTTCCCCTTTCTTCTTGGCGCATTTTCCAGATCTCTTCTCTCTTTCGGTCGTTTTCTTCCATTCTATGGCTGTCGCCGGAACCGCGGACTCAGCATGGGGATGCCGCGCCTTCGGAATCAGTCTCTGGTACATCGTCGTCGTCTGCTTCGCCCGCAAAAGGTCTTGATCGGAGTTATTCTAACAATTCTTTGCAGAACCCTCGTCAAGATGCTGAAATTGAGGTGCTGAGCTTATTATCACAAGAATTTTTTGTTCTGGTTATAGTCTGCGGAAATATTGAAGAGCGAAGAGTATCGTCAGTTGTTTCGTCTTCCACCAGAGGACGTGAGTATTTTCAATCATGCTGAGCACCAGTCTCTCTTATTATAATTGTAATATTGTTATATATAAATTTCTGTCGGCTGATTGTCAATGCCGTTCTGTTAAGATTGAATTTTCGCTTACTTTGGGGGGAAAAAACAAAAGAAAAAAGAACTAATGCGATTGTGATATTGCAAATGATTTGTGAAAATTAAATCTTCTCTCAGAAGCAATGCAATTGTGCTGATTAATGATACCATATGACTCTTGTCATTTGGTTTGGTCATGTTATCTTTCCATCTTTCGTTGCATGCGTCAAACATCAACAGCGGCACAACAAATATGACATTGTTGTCTGACCTTTGTATTTATACATAATGTTGCGTCCCATGGTTGAGAAGTTTATGAACGTTCCGGTTGTTTGTTTGGAATTGAAGAAACTTTTCTTCTTCATTGATTTCTTGGTTTTAGGTCC